GAAAAATCCTCTGCCCCCGTCGGGGATCGAACCCCGGTCATCCAGCCTGTAGCTAGTCACTATACTGATTGAGCTATCCCGGCTCATAGTCAAATTATGTAGCTTGCAAAATTTTCTCCTTTTGTTGTTCCTAGATATACATTTTTATTCTTTCTGAAGCTACATAAGAACATTTAAAACATTGTAAACCAATACTGGTTATTCACAGACAGGATATGGCATTTTTTATTCATTATTCAGTTGTAGAAAAAAAGTATTAGGTTATTATAACACGGGGAAAACACATGGTTTGTGAACCTTGGACTTGTATATTGTAGCTTTTGGCTACAAACTTAAAATTTTGAGCACCCTGGTCCGCATGAGATCATGTGACTTTCAGATTCTGTTCGTTTATGCTGGAGTGAAATGTGAGGAGGTTGAACATTACATATTTATTTCATTTACAGAATTTTAACAGTGTACTTGCTATGCATGACAAATGTCCAAATATAAAATACAAAACAATTTGGATCATGACATCTGTGAAAAAGATAATTATAGTTAGGCATATGTGCAAGCATACAAAAGTCTTTATTAAAAGAGACATATTTTTTAAAAACAGTACATACATACTTTTCAGATGCCTGTTGTTTTCCCAGTCAGTTCTAAGCTATGATAGCAGTTCTGTACTACAATTAAAATGCATTTCTTAACAATTCAATTCTATAGTATTCTTGCAGTTTTATTACTTTTATGGAAAGAAGAAGCAAACAATATAGCAACTCACACAGTCTACATCTAAATGGAATATAAAACATTTTCTAAACATGTACCATAACAATGAACAAATTTTCTCCTTCTGTTTGCCTTTTGTAGTTACCTTCAAACAACTGTATACTTATAACTAGGTAACTCATCTCTGGTTCAGCATAAACGAACAAACTGAAGGATTATTTACCAATCTGGTTGTGATCATCCATATGGATGCACAACAGAAGTATTATGAATTTATGTTTTCTAGCTGGTGGAGTTACCATGATACAGAGAGTGGTTGAAAGCTTCCATCCTCAGGTATTCAGTCTCCTCTGCTGACAGTGGGCTGACTGAAAAGAAGGCATAGAGTCCAACTGCCACCATTATGATTACTGCCAGGCACGTATTGAGAATACATTTCTCTCGTGGTGTCTGTTCCAGGGAGTTGATCTGGAGGACACAATGCAAACATCAAATTGATGTCCTGAATGGTAAGATCATCATTCAACCAGGCCTGACTTGGTAATGTCAGGTCTTTATCAATATGATTGAATAATTTACAAGAAACCACATTTTGAAGACCCTGCTACGGTAACTTCCTATCACATCTTTCTATATAAATACTGTGTCAAAGAGCATTAAAAGTGTGGTCATTTTGAGTGTAATGCTGGAAAATATTACTGTTACTCACACCTATACTTCTGCCTGCACACTGTTAAGAGAAGAAATGTTAGTTGCCGTATATTTTTCCATCTCCTCTCTAAAAGAAGTATCTCACCCATTGGTTGTTCTTTATCCTGCCCATCATAGATTAATACGTTTCCAACATCACAATGAATTATGTCAAATTAGTTTGTGTTCTAAACTGATACATCCTCCATGAAGTTCAAAACAGTGGTCCCCAACATTTTTGTGCCTACAGGCACATTTGAGAGTTTATGAGATCGTGGCGGGCACCAACCAATTAACAAAGCCAAATTTTTTTTTCTCTGGACAAATAAGATATGGACACCAAATAATACACAAAACAACACGACGTTTAATGATACAAGAAACCACACAATCAAAAATACGTACTTTTATAAGTACAATTATTATTACTCAAGTGGGAAGTTAGTGTCATGTTTGGCACAGCATTTCATCGGCTGTTTTTGCAAATTAGGGAGTGTAGGATGATGATGCTGCTCGCAAACAATCGTCAAGATGGACGTCAGTAAGTCGAGAACTGCGCTTCGATTTTATAATGTTCGTGGCTGAACGGCCTTTATTATTCAGTATAACCGCTTTCCGTATCAACGCGGGCACCCAAAAAAGCTTTGGCGGGCGCCATGGCACCCGCAGGCACCGCATTGGGGACCACTGAGTTAGTACATAAAGTCACATACATAAACATTATAAATAAAATATGGTAAAACAGACATTTATTTACAAAACCATCTATGCCAGAACATCAATTTAAGTTGACTACAAAATAAAACATACACTGTAAAATATGACACTGCCTCTTATCAAATGGTTATACACACATAAAGCATTAGTTCCACACCACATTGCAGATCAGTATTAATGAAGCGCCAACCAGTTAACAAGAAAATACATTCTTCAGTTTACCCTTTAATTACAGAGTAAAGGTTATGCAATAAATAAAAGACACCCTATGGCATAAATAGTATTTTGTGAACCATGCTTACAGCACTCAGAATTTGAACTGCCATTTTCACATTTACTAGAAAACATCTTTCAATTCCATACCATTTACAATAACAAGTACTGTGTATAGAATAGTGGCAGAATTTGATGGTCATATGGATTAATAACATAAATAATATTTTAACACTTGTAGCTCAGTGATGACTACATATAAGACCTATTACAGTCTTCAAGATAGTTATAAAACTGAGAGAGAAATACATTACCTCAGAATAAAGACCAGATGCAACTGCTGTCATAATGAAATTGAATAACTTATCATTACTTTAGGTGAACCCTTTGTTACATTATGTGAAATTTATACAAAAACATGAATTGTGCTTTATAATATGTATTGTATTATTATTATGACTTTTTCCACATCCTATTGTCATCTGACTATCTTATGGATCCATGGAATGTAATAAAGATGTGTGTATGTAACATTTATAAGTTTGATAATTTTCTTTCAACATTCCAGACTAGTGAAGAGTCACATGTCATCAGCAAATTGTACAGTCAAATATTATCCATAGAAGGGCAAATAACAGCAGTTGGCTGGTTATCTACATGTTCGGCAGTTTTCAACTGCAGTATTTCACTAACATAAAATTGAAAATCTAATGTCTGTTGATCCTTAAAAACAAATAATTTTGTAAACTGATATGTACGTATGTCATATTACGAGAGAAGATATCTGTAGCAATATTCATATTTGCTACAGATCTTCAAGAGAGACACGGTCTGGTATTTGGTGTATTACACATGAAATTTAAAAAAATACTTTAAATTCAGTTTACCTCAATATTAAGTGCTGAAATGGTCCCAGTGAATTACTTACTCATGATGTAGTAACTGTAAGCATGGTATCACATTTGGGAGGCACAGTTTAATTCCTATATAATAAGAGCTTGACTGGGGTTTACACACATTTTCATCTACCATGCAGGTTAATAGAATTATTATACAGTCATGTGTTTCCTGTTCCTCATTTACAGCACTTCATGTTTTAGATTTACTTATAGACTTTTCTTTTCCCATGAAGCATTCTTCCCACTCGGTTCTTCCAGTTATATTACAGAAAATATCTTTAAAATATATAACAGCTTACTATCAGATGCAACCAGTTCACAAATCATATTATCTGTCTTCATAAGCCTCTCAACAAAAATTTAAAACATCAAACCTCATGAAGAAATACACATCTATTCATTTAGGGTAATGGGAGAAACAGCATATGCACATCTTTGTTAATATTTACCTGTAGTTGTATGTTTATCAAATTCTTTGTCTGTCATGCAACAAAGACATTTCTTCTTCTCTGATTTCCTCAATCATTAATATAACAGCACATGCAGCAAATAAAAATCAGAAGGACAGAACCAAGAAGAGTATAATTCAAATGAGGAATATGTTCAGCAAATGTGGAAAACTGCAACATACTGATATTCGCTGTTGTTTTGGGGGGATATTTTCACCCAAATGGTTTAGATATCTCTTGCAGCAGTTTTCCTATTTCTTAAACACAACCTGCACTTCATCTACATTCATCCTGTATAAATTGTAGAAACAGAAAGAAGAAAATAAGCAGAGAGGAACCACTTCAAATTTAAGGGTGCTGTGTCTCACCTTCTTCAATCTTAATTGGTCTTCAGCTTCTCTTGTGAGTCTCTGTTCCCTCTCAGGGTCTCTTTCCTTGAATGATATTGACAAATGTGTTTCATGCATTACTTCATGTGTACCCATTATACAGTAATCCCCTTCTCACCAACATGCTACTAAAACAGTCTCTAACATTACAGCAAGATCATTTCATATAACTAATAAGTTCATATCATTATCTTTTAAAGAATATTTTAATGACTTCATTCTTCATATGTTCAAGACTTGTGAAAACACATGTAGGAATTTTATATCCTGTCATGTGTGATAATATCTGTGTATTTAGTTTAGAATGTAAGAACATGATCGCAATTTAAATGTGGTGACACTAATCAATTTAAATGACAGATTAAGCCTATGGGTCCAGAGTCAAGTTTATTGTACCAATTCACAGAAACAAATGTTAACAAAATGTTGAGTGAAAGTGTTAAAAACGGGCAAAATTTTGAAAAGAAATATAAATGGGACCTCTATTGAAAAAAGTTTCCAAAGTTCGGAGAGTTTCTTTCAGTGGACACCTATTCCAATTTCCATACCAGAATACACAACTGAAACATCAAGACACTCCACCAGAAAAAGAGCTATTTTTTTAAGACAGCATCTTCTTGAAGAAAATGAACAAATGCTGATGAAGGACAAAATTTAATTCTGTAAGAATTCAGATTGCCATAATTTCCAAAATTATGCATAAATATTAGTTTTAAAAATGCAATGGTGTACAGCGCTATAATCTGCAGCAGAGTTTGTCTTGAAGACAGCTGTCTTATGGGTTGTAGCACCACGTAGTCTGGTAGAAGTTTACGAATATTTCAAAGGTACCTGCTGCCTCCACCATCAGGGCAATGATGATTATGAAGGCAGGATGTATTTCTGAAACACTGGCATACTTCCACTGGCATACAACAACCCAGAAGATAACCATCTTCATACTCACCACCATAAGAACTTCAGATCCTGTAAAGCTTGTCTCTTCATCTACATAATCACATCAACTGAGTTTTCAACAGGAAAATATTTGTACATGTCTACTCTGAAATTCATCCAGAAGATCCACAGTAAAACATTTCTGGCCTGCCAGCAGATTGACAGTGTGGCTAACATCTAAATCTTCTCCCTCTCTGAGGAACTACACTTTCTCTTCTGCTAGCCTACACTTTAAAACTATAGTAAAGCTGACTTGCTATACTCCATGATAGCACATGGGGGGGGGTGTGTGTGTGTGTGTACTTTAAAAGCTGTCCTAGTCGAAAACGAGATTTGAAACATTTTTTAAGTATGGTTTGTTGTAATAATATAATCTTGTGTAGGTAACAGTTATCGTTGTATTGGCAGCATTTACCGCAGACGTGTTTCCTCTTGTTCAAGTAGCTAATCTGAGCGAAACGTAGCGGATCAGATCGCAAGAAATCTTCCAGAAGATTGTCGTAATTATTATTGTGATATTTTCATTGCTAGAATTCGATCGATTTATTCGTCTGTAACGTCGTTTGAACTATACTGTGTTCATGTCTCTAAATAAAGTATTATATACCTTTCAGATCTGTGAATTTAGCCTTCATTTACAGTAAATCGGCACGGCAGTGAAAGTAAGCTGAAACTGAGTTAGTTGATGTTGGTTTGTTCGGACTGATTGTTCAATGAGCAGAAAGCAATAAAACCAAATAAAAGTGATCTTGACACATTGTATTACATGGTTGCTGTTGATTAGGTTTGCGAATTGTCGGTTTGTGTTGTGTGTGTGTGTGTGTGTGTGTGTGTGTGTGTGTGTGTGTGTGTATAGCTCCTACTCATTCTTGCCCTTGGCAGTAGATGGGGGTCTGAGTGGTCAGTGTCATGCTCCAGCTATACTGTACCCCTAGTACCCACTGGATAGAGGCTCATTGGGACACAAGGGCTAGAAGAAAAATCACTGGCCTCTGCTGGAGATCAAACCTCAGTCATCCAGTCCATAGTCATACTATATTAACTAAGCCACCCCAGTTCATACTTTGAAACTATACAGTTGTCAAAATGTATTAACATCTAAGAAAAAACTATTCAGAGTGGAGAATTAACAACATTGCCAAACAGTATCATAAATTCATAGTGCATAGTAAAATCGTCAAAAAATGTGACTATAGCCTGGCAACTCAGCTTACCCTACTGTCACACTTTGACTGGAGGATGGGGAGAAACTGCCCGAGCTATGAAAATGAACGCATCACTCTGACCCCTTGCAATGAATTTAGATCCACTGGCTGTACAACACACTTTGTTAATATTTTATTATACCTCTGTATGGCCATCCATGGAAGGAGAACAGTCAAAGGCTGTAAAGGACTCTTTACACTTCTTAAACAATTAACATCTTTCCAATTTTTTTTGTAAAGGTGCATACGATCTTAAGTCATATTACATAATAAATATAATGCTGACAGAGGCAGACACGGCAGTACCTTCAAGACTCTCTAAAACATCAATTTCATCACAATGCCAATCTTAGATATTTTCTGCCTGAAATTTGAACTATAACACCTCTATGGGACTTCTATTCTTCCCTTAAAAGCATGTCCAGTTAATAAGTAAAGGTCTAGCATTATATTTTATACAAGAAAACTCATATTTCCCTCAATCCATAACAGAAAAAACTAGATTGTCATCTTGAAACTGCAGCATTCCTTCCCTTCCTTCCATCTCATCTCATATGTAATTGTATTATTGAATCTGAATCCTCCAGAGGCTCGTAACACTCAGTTTCAAAGAACTGTACTTATTTTTTAATCATAAGTTCATTGAAACAACATTTCTAAGGCATAGCAAATTGTGAATGCCCCCTACATGGGTTATTAAATAAGAAACCTTCAGTCCCAGTGTTTGGGATAAAGTTCTACACCCCTCATCTTCCTACAGAGAAGAGGTTTGTCCACAGCCTCACGATGACAATCTCATCAACTCCAGAGAATGTTTAACTACTTGCAATTTCTAATAAAATAATAAAGATCACAGTAAAAGTATGAACAATTAAATTATCAAATAAATTTCTTTCTTTACTTTTAACATTTTATGGTTTGAACAGGATGCTTTTATCTTAAATCACAAATATCTGCCACATATCACTAAAATATATGTGATTTTATATCTTTGGTGTTTGGTAAGAAGGACTTCAATCAAACAAACATACTGACTTAAGCGCTTCTTACCGAATACCCAAGATATATGAATGTCTGTATTCTCCCATTTTCGTTTGTATGTAAAACAATTATTGTTGGTACATAACAAGATGCAAACAGAGAATCAAGTAGTGATACCATAATTTTATCAGTGTCCCTGTGAGTACAATGCTGAGTAGTGCCACTTCATTTCCATAACTGTATTTCATCTTACCATAAATTCTATTTTACCTATGGAGCTAAAATAACAGTCATGTTAAAATACTGACACAGTCCACTGCTGAGCTATCTTATACTAACATCATAAACAAATGATTAATGCCAGTCTTTGAGAGTTGACAAGAATTAAAACTACACACTTTAAAATTGCCCAATTTAAACATAATGATCAAATGGTGAGGTGAGAATATTTTTCACTATTAAAACTACTTTACAGAAATTGTTATCACTCTCTGGAAAAAATTGTTTTGACTCACCTGATCCAAGCGATCTTGAGCGTCTCTTGCAATCCTGCGTTCTATCTCTGGCTTAGTCTCAACACCACACACCCGTCGGAAGAGTCGCAGTAAGAGATTTGGTTTCTCACAGCTCTTATCAGGAAGCTTATTTACATCCCCATCTGAAAAACATGCAGTTATTTAGCCATCGGAAGAATCTTCATGCAGATGGATAAGAGTCACATGCTCTAGCTTTGGGAATTGTATAGACTTATGGTAAACCGCCTGTTACATAAATATTTGTCTCTGTACCATTTCCTTACAACAGTGGGCATTTAAATCTCACCTTTGACTGGCAGTGACACCATTTCAACAATGAATATATGACAGTATGAGATATGAAGCTTTCACAATGGCATAAATGTGTATCACATTCTTCCAAGGTGTGACATCATGTAATCATAGAGGAAGAAACTATCTGTACAATGTAAATATGTTCTACAAAAATGATGGCAACCACCTACATGATTACACATCATCTAACCTCAGAAAAACAAGCGACAGCTAATGCTGAAGCACTTATTTAAATGGAATGAATCACTTTATTCAGTGTGTGTAGTGTTAATGAATGAGAGACTGTAATCAGCACATTCTTTAATTTCAATAAGGAATAAAGAGATACTGAAGATAAGAAAATGATACAATTACCATACAGATCCTGAGATTAAACAGGAGTAAACAGCATAGTCAGGAGCAAGTGTGTACAAGTCTACAAGTGAAAAAGTGTCACCTTCTATAACGTATGTTTAGCAGAATGACGTGTTGGGATGAACTCACCTCAACAAAGATTTCTCTACTATAAGCCACAGACTAATTAAAACTTGTAAAATGTTAACTCCACTGACAACACTATTATATGTTAAAAGCCACTTTATTTTTGTATTTGTGGTTTATTTCATGATGCTGTCAGTCACTCAAGACTATATATCATCAAATGATGAGTTGATTAATGAGTAATAAACTGGAAGGCATATGGGAGGAAATGGTCATAGCCTGTAAAAAGGCACTGTCCTGGAATCTGCATAGGACTGAGAAAAACCGTGAGAAATATCAATCAGGATAGCTGATATCCAAATCAAGATTTAAACCAGGGCCTTTCGAACATGAAGCAAAGTGCTAACCACTCAGCTGTAGTCAAACAGTTCTCTATTCAGAGACCTGGGTTACATAAGTTACCAATTTCATTCTCAGCGGCCTTCCGTCGTGCAGCCATCATGAGTTCCAATTCTTCAGCCCTCAATGGTTGATCATCATCCTTTCTCTTACGCTGATCAAAACGTGTGCGGTATGTTGTTCGTATCAACTAAAAAACAACAGTACTTGTGGTTAGATAAAAGAAAATAAAACACTAAGTATAAAAGCAAGACTTCATTGTGCATGTCTCTAGTTTCCATAAATAGTATGCAAAGGATACTGACATTATTTCAAAGAGAAAGAAAGAAAGTGTAATTTGTTGAATTTACTGTTGGGAATTTCCTGATGACAATCTACTAATAAAAATATAAACACTGATGACTATATTGTGCAATGGGGCCTACTTTTTTTATGGACTGTAGCTTAAATCACAGTTCAATGTCATGGTAAATCTCACATGTAAAGTAGAAGATCATATCCTATCAGATTTATGTAACTTCAATGACTACTTGTGATAATAAAAGATTCCCTGCAAATAGAAATGTATATAACGGTATTCAAACTTCCAGCATATGTTACATACATGTTAACGCACATACAGAGAATCATAAAATGTCTAAAGTGACTAATACAAAAGTGTCAGATGAAGAGAGACAACATACAAAACACATGTAAGTATTTAACACACAACAAACACAAAAATGAATCATAAAAGAAGAAACAAAATTTCAAGGGGTTCTTTGTAGATGTTTCCAACCATAATTCATAATAGTCGTATCCTACGTTATTTTCCAGGAGGTGGATGGAGGGCAATTCATCACTCATAATGAAAGGGATGCACAACCTTTTCCTCAAAAGGACCACACTGCCAAATTTCACTTTGTCTGAAGACCATATTAAGATGACATTTTATTGCGTCAACCTACAACACTGTATCAACAGATAAATTTATGTAGTGTTGATAGAAACCTTAACACAGGATAACAAAATTATTAGCCCTGGTTTTTACTATAGACATCTGTACTACTTTTGTAGAAAATGATGAAGACAATTCTTAAAACCAATTTTGATCTCAAAATTATATTTTGTTTAAATATTGTTCAAAAAATTGCTAAGTAAATAAAATTATAATCAAAACATAAGTTTAAAAGATGTGGAATTCCAAACTGTGTAAGAATGCAGTTTAAACCTTAGACCATGATGGATAACCGAACTACAGAATTTCATCTACACAGAAGCCTAGCAATCCTGTCTTATCACAACATGAAGTTGTCTTTGTATGTTGTTTGCAAAATTTTCATAAAATTAATGCACAGTGGGAAAAATCTATGTGTATATCCTTCATCTGTGAAAACAATGAATATTTTTAAATTTGGTGTTAGCAGTCTGCAAATGTAGCTATCATGTGAGTTTAATTTTGACTTGTATAAGTTGGATATATTAATCTTCACTTTACAGCACAAGTCAAACTTTGACATCATCAGAATATGGCTCATTATGTAAAAATCTGTACCTGCCATAAAAAATAAATCTCATTATATTGTAAAATGTTAATTTAAAACATTTTTAAATGTGGTAAATATTTAATAAATAAAATGAATAATAATATCTTCCTCTAGATTGTATAGAACAGACTTATAACATCAAACAACAATTGTATCTGTAATGTAAGGGATCTGTTGGTGATCATTCACTTTTCTTTCTGTTGTGAAACACAATACACAGCTAGATCTTTAAACTGTAAATAACTTTAATAACTGAACCAAGTTTCAGTTAGGACTATAAATAAAGGACTTAAACCTATTTCAAATTGATATCCTATATAATATTTAAATCAGCATTAAGAATGACAACATATAAATCATATTACTTGAACAACAATTTATTCCAAAATGGTGCCAATATTTTAACCACCATTTCCATATTATGAATATATTTGGACTGGATTAAAATTAGTTCTAAGATGTAACTTTTTTGATTTCATATTATATTATTTTAAGCCATCAACAATATAAATAAATAATTATATATGAAAAATATATACTTCCTACAACATAAACACTATCAGTTAATTTTATAAAAATATGATCTATTTCACAAATATGAAAGACAGACATAAGATCTGTAAGTTCATTCTAGTATCATTAATAGCTAAATCTACGGTAAGAGAATCTGTCCACCGACAAAAGCAAAGTACTTCTGGGCTGCTAACTGTAACACTGAAGGCTTAAATTCAAGATTATAACTACCTTCATTATCTCCAATGCAGACCTTCAGTCAGCATTTCAGTGAATCATACAGAAATCTACCAGCTTAAAACAAAATAGCGAGATGTTCATGGTCTAAGGTTTATGCTTACCTTGTACGTAAATGGTGAGTATTCTTAACTTGCATCCTTAACACACAGAAGGCACACAAACACACAGACATAAATACAAGAACGGATATAGTTGTGCAACACAATAACACCATGGTGATGTAACAAAGCATAATACTGGTCACAGGCATAGATTTTTGGATACATTTACACCACTTAAAGGAAAAATCAATATTGAAGTTTTCATTCAGATACATCTGATGCAGACAACATGTTTCCTTACAACAGAAGAACTGTATGTAGCTCTGTCTATGTATCATAATACTGAATTATGACTTCAAACATTCCCAAGCAGTATTTCTTAAGGCAGGCTTGAGATATACCTCCTATAGTTCTAGAAACCAGAAAAAATAAGAGTTCCACTTAGAAATCAACAACTGAAAAAATGTGATTCATGAAACTGAGCAAACGAACATGAACATGGGAAAATGAAGAACAGAAGTAAGTTGTGTTAGTAGTACCCATCTTGTGGTTTCCCAACCACCATTCTAAAAATCAACATGGGCATCTTCCTGAGAAAGATAAAATCTTCCTTCAGTGCTCACTGCATTCTTAAAACTATTCAGTATAATTTTTTAGAATAGTGATCACACATACTATGTATCAATATATTTTTCATGCATTTGTTCTCATCATTGTTTCAGTATACTCAATGAAAGTAAATAACATACTTTTTGCGCCTTCTGTAAATACTTAGATAACATAAGGGCTGTTATAGCAAGGTTATTATATCACACACCAGAGCCTGTACCCAAACCAACAGCATCTATGCACATAAAGATGCACAATACCTTCACCAGATAAAAGATGTCTTGAGTCCTGGATAGTATGTGAAACAAGGGTGTCTCTACTTTGCTTTCTATTAAAATAGATTCTACTGGGGATACAAGGGACTGTACCTGACATCCTTTGGTTTTGCCCTGCTTTTGCTACACAATCTTGTGAACAATGTTCACTCTTACCCTTCTATCTGTATGCACAAACTATCTACATTTTAGCTCCAGATGACTGCCTCATTGCCCCTCCCTGTCTTCATAGCAACGTGTGATGTGTACTGTTTTGTATTATGCCTACAGTCAGAGAATACAATGTTTTACCAGAGTGAATAATAGAAAATACCAATGATAATTAAAACAAAAATCTCCTTTAAAATTATCATGTTATTAATACCTGCCAACAGGACTGCACTTATAATTTAACAATTTTTTAAATGTTCACATACCCAAAACAAATTATATAGAAATGGAAATAAATTTATTTTAAATTCTAAATAAAATAATAACTGATTCATGAAAGAGATATTATAATTCAGTCTGCTCCATCTAATATACAGGCCCCAAAAATGTACATTTCTAACAATATTACTAACCACATGGGATACTACACACACAAACACTTACCCATGTTTGAATGGTATTGACCATAACTTTGTGTTTCAATTTCAATGGCACATTACTGATTTAGATATATACTATTAGACACTCATTCCCTTATTTGACACTACAAAGGAGGAAGTACTAATGAAAACAATCTGAAGGTGAAAAATAATTCCATGCTGTTTCACGAGATATATACAAGTTTAGTGTTATTTTGAAAATTCTCCTATTTTAAACCCTTCCATTCAATTCTTTATGACAGTTTCAAAACATCTTCACATTAAATATTCTTTCACAGATATTCTGAATACATGTTTCTTACTGTCACCCATTTTGTTCAAAGTCCCAGTGTTGAAAAATCTAGTCACAGCTTAATCAGTTCATTTCTTCACTTTCACATCTCTTGCATCTGGGAAGTTGCTATATTTTTAGGTAAGCAACACTGCACTGTAAACTCTGTACACACTTTTCAGGATTATCTGCAGTGTGGGAGTTTCGTTTGGTAAGCTATAGTAGCTCACCACTTGGAATGAAACTTCTTGTTTTGTTTTTTTAAAAAAACCCTCAGATTGTCAAGAGAGAAATATCCTACAATCTAACCTGCTCTAAAGTAAGAGATATTTTACATATTACAGCCTGTATGAAAACTCTGAGAAAATAGTCACATTCAATAAAATAAAACTGGTTGCTGCAAGATGAGTGTTAAATCAAATATAATTTGTACAAAAGAAAACCTTTAAAATTAAAATTAAAATGTCATCACAATATGCAAATCAGAATATATTTAACTTACCCTATATTCTGGAGTTGGCTTTGTGAATAAACTGATAGCTATGACCAACAGCAGTGTTGTCCAGAAGAGTAACATTGCAAAGTACATGTAATGCACCTGTGATGGGAGGAAAAAGTTAACATTTATCAATAGCACATGGTAATATTGAGCAGGTTAGCACTGTGATAGTGTATCTGACTTGTTTTAGTACAGAAATAATAGGAATTGTGAAGCTGTAGTAAGGCAGAAGATAATAAAAGTAGGTACAAATATCTACGAATAATGTAATGAATTAAACTGCACAAAAAATAAAAGTAGATGATGTTATAAACTGAAACAAGATGATGTAAAACAAAACAAATTAAATGACATATCTGTAAAATATCATAAACAATCTGTGACTGGAAGTAGAATTCTACAGCTATAGCAAGAGAGAAATTGTATCACCATCTCGTACAACAACAAACAATACAAATTTTTTTTAAATATTTTATGTTAAAGAGCTAAGTGGTTTGGTCACACTGGACAATATTCAGCCTCAAGGTGTGTGACCTGAAGCAAACTGTTTTATGTAGCATGTGCAAAAATGATTTAAAACATATATCCAGCTAAAAAGGGAAGGGACCACTTTGAAGACCTAGGCACAGATGGGGGATAATATAAAAATGGAACTTAGAGAAATGGTTAGAGGATATGAACTGGATAAATCTGCCTCAAAATAGGGAATACTGGTGGGCTGTTGTAAAAAAAATAATGAACCATCAGATACCAAAACATGGTGTGTAATTTCTTGACTGGCTGAGCATATTATAAACATCGAAAGGGCTCTAGTCCATACAGTCAGTTAGTGTACCTTTGAAATGATGAGTGGTCGAGTATCTTCTTCATAGCAGCGAGGTTCTGGGAAAGAGAAGTCCAATGCCATGCGAGTAAATCCAATAAAAAGGCCAATTACCAGACCCCAGAAGGCACCCTGAAAGATGATACTATAAGTTAGTGTGTGCGTGTGTTTTTTTATGTAAAAACTGAAGCATTAACAATTTATCCCCTCTGTATTTAGAAGAGAATAAGTAATTTGGCTTACTTCTACACATTTCTCCAATGTTTATTTTAACTCCATCATATATTTAACTTTGAAGACAAGCAAACAGAATTTTAAGACTCTACTGTTTTACCACATGACACTCATTCTGAGTTACTGGATAAAACAAATAATCTTGTATTACAACAAAAAATTATTTCCTTTTTTGTTTTGCAAATAACAGTAAGCTTTCAGTTGATGCAGACTGTAATGCACAAAAAATTTACAGTAACCCAATGGCTGGAAATGGTGGAAACATTATGGATGACAATACCTAATTTATTTCCCCTTTCTTTACACTTAAAAGAGAAGCATGGAATTTACAAGCTTTTACCTACCTGTTCATTCACGCGTGACCATGTTAGAGCAAGACAGTAGATAGCAGCAATGGGAGGAGCCAGGTATGCACCGATTGATTGAATGTAGATATACAACTGACCACCCTGTGTCTTCTGAATGATTGGAATCCAGATGATGGATATAACAACCAAAACTGCTGTAAAGATTCTGCAATCATCCAATCAATAGGACTGTAGAATCATACTTAAGAATTCTTAGCCTTAACATCAACTGTGAAGTTTTGGCCAAGTATCATGTCACACAATCACAGAAATTATATAAGCAGACAATGTATATGACATTTGCTAAAAGTTGTAATGTAAAAAACAAAAAATACTTTTCTAATTTTTTTAACATTTTATAACAAAGAAAGCATATTCTGATTAGTAAAAATTTGTTATCTCCTTCAGCAGCATCTACTAAAACTGAGTCATAACAATACTGTTTCAACAACCACACAAATTTATTATGCAGAGGCATATTCTGAAATAAACAGACTAACACTGGGACTAATCAGCAATACGAAGTTCCCAACTTACTGGACAGCCATACTGTCTCTCCTCTAACTTTTTTAAATTTATGGTTCCTACCAAAATGTAGGCAAAGGCCTTTGATATGCATTACTAAAATAATTGTTAACCATGGGTAAAATCTTAATAATTTAAGAGTACATAAAGTTTAAGAAATGTATGAATATCATAAAAATTCTGGTGCACGTGCCAAAATGTATTCTTTGACCTTTGTGAACAATGCCAGTGTCACAAGAGCTGTCTGTGCAGGGTGTCCAGTTGGGTGATGACATTATCATGGTGAACTTCCCCTTACCATGTTCCCAAGGTAACCACAGCAAATGTCATCTGCAGTCGTGCTGATATTTATGCTCTGATATAAATTAGTTGTTAAATTAGTGCAAATTAAGCAAACATTTAAATGGTTTGACAATTTTTTATAAAATTATCCAACATAAATATAATCAAAATCAGTTTACTCATTGTATCTATAGAGAGACAGACAGATGGAGCAATTTTAATAGATGCTCCACAGGGTTGCACATGCACCTAATAAAAAATGACACAAATAAACATGTATGTACCATAATAATATCTGCAAGTTGATAAAGGGAATGTGTTACAGGCGGTGAGATTATGTTATTAATTGCTTTAATAAACAATTGTAATCAATTTTAAGATATATGGTCATGAATAAACCATCCTGTAAATCTGAGTAACATGCCAGTACCTATTTGTCTGGTAAACCTGCATTTTATAGCAAGGGGAAAATTCAGAGTGGACAGCCAAATACCAAGTAGGATTTGAGGTTCTCATGGCAGTGAGCACAAAGACGGCTGTCTTTGGGATTATAGCACCGTGTAGTCTGGAAGAAGTTTACCAATGAGCTCTGAAATATTGGTCAACTTCTACCCGACTATATGGCTCTAAAACTCTGAAGACAGCCATCTTTGTTAGCCATAATACTGATCCAGTGCATTAATACAGAACTTGGAGTAACCAGGGACATGGTATGACTTGAGTAATTTGTATAATATTTTATAGTATCTGAATTTTTCTCAACAACCATAGCTTATTTAAAACACATTTTTAAAATATACATAATGAACAATGAAACCAAATACCTTGAATCCTCTAACATCTAAAATCACTGTTTCAAACATGTTTTATCCTGTAAAATAAAAGCCAATTTTTCAACAAAACACAACTATTCAATAGTTCATAATATGTCTATACAAGAATTTCATGTTTTAATATATTAGGTATTACTAATGACAATTCCTTAATATTAAGAAAAGAGTCTGCATCAGTTCTTCAGATTACCTAATTAAAATTCTTACACATATGCAACCTTTGTTCATTTGTGAATGTTTCCTTTCATAACTACCATTAAAATATATTCTGAAGTTCTATTAGTTTAAATGATGTTTCATTCTAAACATTTCAGAAATAAAATTAACCTTTTATAACCTAATACTTGTTAAATGTCCCAGATTTTTTACTTAAATTTAAGCTTATTTCACTCTGGAGCTTACCTTAAGTATGGAGTGCCAAGTCAGTTAGCTTCCAAAAATGTCCAATTCGACTAAAAAATATTTTCAAGTGAATATTATTTTTCCCCCACAACTCTTCAGAAAGTTTATTTAAATACTAGATAATGAAGTAATATATAAATAAGGTCATCTTAATAAGAAGAAACTTACCCTAAAATATGCCCCAGGGATGCATCAGTGTTTTATCCCAATAAATTTAAAGTAGTTGCACTAAAAGGATAAAGTTTTAAGATGTGCTAACCGAGATGATGGTCACTTAGATTTTAAACAGAAAAGGAAAACCTACCAAGTAACCTGCTAAGTAAATGTATGTTGGAATAAATGTGCAGTAGATGAGATATAACATTCAGCCTGAGTAGAGGTTCACAGACATAATGACACCAAATGTGTGTTCAAAAAGAAAAAACCTCAATAACAATTTTTGGTTTTACCAAGGAATGAACACAATGAACAAAACATTTAGTGTTTTCTCATCTGTGTAATTGTAGATTCTTACATTGGTAAATGCTCTACATGTTCTCACCTACTTTACATTTATTTGCCTTACCAGGTTTTATATTATTTCTCACTAATTTGAAAATTAATGTCAAATGAAGTAGAACAGGAATGAGCACTTACCAGTTATTGGCTGTAAATCACACAAATGATGAAAGCTGACACATTCTAAGATGGCTGTCATCTGGGTTGTAGCGCTGTGTAGTCTGGTAGAAGTTTACCCATTTCAGAGATCCTTGCTGCTTCCATCATCATTGCCCTAATAATGGAGGCAGCAAGGACCACTGAAACAACCCAGAAGACAGCCACCTTCAGACTCACCACTGTGAAAACCTCAAATCCTACTGATATTTTACTTTACTTTCAACACCTGTGTAACTTCAGGAATTGTTGACAACAGCTCATCCCTATATTTAATTTGAAACAAGGTTTTATAATCATAAGTTTTAAATTGTTCTGTCAAAGGGCATGCTGCTTACAGGCATTTTTATACTGTAGCTTAATAACTGTAATAATCTTCCATTAAAATGCACATAGACTCTGTGAACAGAAATGGATTAGAAGAGGTATAACTTTTATTGAGTGAAGATATAATAATACATGGCAAAAGGAAATATAGGAAATTTACTTGTGTTGTATTATCAACTACAGAATCATCAGCCATCAGATAGCAGTGCTGCTGTAAACAATATTATTTTTAATTTTTTGCATGTATACCTATCTTGTATATTACAAGAAGCCTCACACAATTAAGAAATCTGTTCTTCTAATGCATTTCTAACTACAGGACATTCTGCATTCATATATTCTGCATTACACATTTGAAATTATTAAATATATAAAAGGATTACTGAAGAAGGATGGCCAACTAATTTTTCTTTACTAAAATCAAGGTTCTCTACTTTTCACTGAAAGAGGAAAATACATTTTGACATAAAAAAGAACTTGTAAGAGTTCATTGCTAAAAAAAAATGCAAAAACAAACAAGGCACATAAGTGTATATGAAGATGGTATGAAAGAAACATGCCAGTTAATAAGTATATGTCTTTGCATTTTGTGAGTCAGAACTCTGCCAAGTCTTAAAACTACCCAAAAATTATTTCAGAGGCTCAACAAGAATATGACTCATTGAATGTGGGGCGACTCAACGTGTGACTCACTTGCTGACAATGAGAAGCTCCTTGGTGGTTGCCTGTTTCCTTGCTCGCTTCCACATGTCCATTGTGAAGAGCGTACTTGCACTGTTGAAAACGGAACTAAGGTCAGACATCAACGCTGCCAACATGACTGCTAGCATCACTCCACGTAGACCTACATGGATAGAATAATAAAAAACAAATCTGCCTTGATGAATGTTAGTATTATGTGAACACACATGACTGGAAATTATGGGGAAGTATGTGATCTGAGTGAATTAGATGATTCTTTGGACTTGAATCCTTCAGAGAGAAAAACTGACGACTCAACAAAGAGCTTCTAAACCACACTGATGTTCTGTTTCCTAGACAATGACAAATACAAGCGTGACTGCCAAGTTGAGTGGTTCTAAGTTCATAATCCAAGGACTACCTGTCTGGCAACGGCGACTAATCCAGCCTCAGAATTCTTTTCAATCTTTGCAATAAGCAGTCTGATGATATGATTCAGATTCACTGCCTAGTTCATTTTGGATCTGGAGGTAGAATTAATATAGAACATGGGAATGATAAAGTCAAATGACAAAATAAAATTTCTCAGTTTTCCTGGCTGAGGTATCCATACTTCACAAACCTATCCAGGTACAATAATAAATTCAGGCATCTGTGATGAAACTTACCACACTTCTCTAACACAACCTAACATAATGATACAAAATGGATTGCCTTTAAGATGAACATAGCATCACAAGTGAGTGTTACAAAAGACTGTTAAGACCATAAGGTTAAGACACTACCAGATCTGACAACATTACAGCCACCCATACGCACCTGCATGGAAACAGATGAACATAGCCACACTGTTCATGAGGGTTGCATTGCTACACTACAACTGGGAAGGGAGAAGGTAACATCAGCCACAACTGCATGGTGAAATTAACAACGCTGGCTTTCATCTCATATAATCAACAACTTCAAATTCCTATACTGACTAAATACACGTCTTCAAAGTCCGATTTTGTTCCAAGACAAGAGCCAGATGACAGCAACAAGAAAATAAGAATGCAAAAGAAAACAATAAGAACTGAACCAGTCAATGCACTTCTTGCAAGGACCGTGTAATTCTCAGTTGTCAGTATTTGCTTCTCATATTTCTGCCTTCAAATGGCCCGTTCACTAGAGATGTGTAGTAATATCACACAGACAGATATAGGATATTCTACTGGCATGATTAGTATATCACTCTATATAATACGTACCTAGAATCTCTGCTCTACGGAGATCATAGTGCCTGTCTAACATCATGGGGGTGTCCACAAGTAACAAAAGAACTACTCTTATCACGTACCTGATGGCAATATACCCAGTACAAGATGAGGATAGGCACTGTTAGAACAGCTCACAGGGTTACCACATACTTTCTCGCAGATTTCTGGTTTTACACAGGCAATCTCATCAGGGAACAGGACCCGGCTGATCATACCCGGCAGGACCATGATGAAGACGGGAAGAATCTTGATGTAACCAGCTAGAAGTGTACCTCCCTGAGCATGCGACAAAGACTTGGCAGCTAGAGTTCTCTGCACCATAAGCTGTGTGAAAGACGCATGAATTATCTTAAATTACTTTATCTTACCTTGCTGTCAGTATTCTTCTCTTTTGATCCTATCTATACCAGTCAGCACAGTTTTGAACTATACTGTGCATTTACTGTCGTGTGCCCTCACAAGCCAATTAGCTTCTGAGAGTTGGTATTGAACTATGAAGTATTCAGTTCTTTCAGTCACGAAGATGTCATTTGTATAGTTTTCTCTTTATGTGCCACCACCCATCTTTATTTGTGGGGGTCGCTTTAGTGCCCTTGACCTTTGCCCTTTCTGTTATTTCCTTCCATCAATATTACTGCTTTCTTGCTCCTTGAGTGATGATACACTTCATATGGGCATAAAAATAAGTGTTTATATTTATTTGACTGAAATACTCTTAATGTCAGACGTCATAAAAAAAAATTAGTTATTACACATTTACACAGTGATTTAATTATGTAGTCAATATAAATAAGCTCTCACTTCACAAAACCTTTTCTTACTGAATTTAACCAGAAACAAAACATATTTTATACAACAGTTGTGACATTTGAAGGGAACTGTGCCTCATCTCATGAAAATTTGTTTTGTAAAAGCAGTAATGCCTCACCTGGTCAGCACACCAGTACCAGATAGAGGATGGTGTCTGTCCAAGGAGGAAACCTGGCCATGGCATGTCAGAATTTATGGGGTTTCGTAACATAATCCATGAGTCTTGACGTGGAATACCACAAGTTGTGTTTGGAAATGTATCATTTGGTACAGCTTGTAGGTAACGTACTGTCAGTTCATTCCAACCTCCTACTGCCATAAAGCCTAGAAGTCAGAAACATAATCATTAGTTGGGTATATTCATCATGCATAGTAATCAGCATGTTTTGATATATGTACATGGGATTGTGATTTTAACTTTAAACAATTCAGCAATTTTGATTTCAGCCTTCTAGTAAAATTGTTGGTGTTCAGTCACAGAAACATTCCCCCAAACTACGTAATTAAGATTGCCAGATAGAACAAATTCCTCTTTCTTATACATACATTGCTATTTCTTACTATTCAGATCATCAAGGAGTCACATACAGAATGGATTTATACTCCATCATTGTTTTTCTGTGGATCATACAACTATAATAACTTTACTTTGAGGCAAGAAATGTTGCACTCAATGAAAGCACTGTACTCTGAATGGTTTCAACAACTCAACACACCTGTTACCATGACAATGAGAGATCCAGCTATAATGATGAAAAACTGCACAGTTTCCATATAAATAACTGCAGCTAGACCACCAATAGCAGAGCAAATGTATGTTAGGCATAGCAGCAACAAGATGCTGTACCATATGTTCCAGCCCACAGCTTGCTGTATGAAGAGAGATCCACTGTAGATGTTAACCTGCAATTAAAAGAAAATCAAGATCAATGAAACTGGATGGCTTTTGCTTTCTCCAAGATGATAATCTGACAGGTGGGTTAACTTTTTCTTTCATTCCCTATGTCTTAGAGCCGGGATAGCTCATTCAGTATGGTAACTAGCTACGGGCTGGATGCGTGGAGTTCGATCCCCGATGGGGGCAGAGGATTTTTCCTCTATCCTCTGCATCCAAACCGGCTCTGGGGCCCACCCAGCCTCTTATCCAATGGGTACCGGGATCCTTTCCCGGGGGTAAAGCGCGGCAAGGGCGTGATGCTGACAACTCACCCCCATCTAGTGCCGAGGTCAAGGAGTAGGCGCTATACCTCCACTCCCACCAAATGACCTACATAGTGGTGTGTAGCAGGATGGCTTTACTTTTTTACTCTTTGTCTTAGGTGTTGCAAACAGTAATAGCTCTAGACATAACTAATTCCATCAAACAGACTCCTTGAGAAGCTGATAGTATGTCCAGCTAAACTGAACTGAAAGAGATTTAAATACTGCTCGAACATACCGATATCTTGGTGAAGATGTAAAGAATGAGGGACAGGGATGCTAGAAACACTCGAATTCGTGTTCCACCAAACCTCTTCATCATGTACTCTGGCAATGTGCACACCTGAAATCAAGAAAACCACCATCACTGTACACCTTGTGACTGCCTCATGTCCAATTTAACATGCTCACAATAGGCAATACTAAATCTGTTAAAAGAAACCTTAACCAGAATTAATCAGTTTCATATTACTTTTCTCTATGCACAAATCTTCTTCTGTTAGTATATTGCCATGATGACTTATTTTTTGAAAACTCATAAATATTTAGCAACAGCTAATGAGAGATAACATGTAACATTGTTTTTTATACATTATTCGTTGTCAAGGGTAAAAAATCACAACATTTCGGAATTAGGACATACTTTCGTCTTCAAGTAACCTGCCTTGGTTTGAGACTAGCTCGATCGGGGGCCAAACATATCTGGTTTTTGTACTCCTGTCCTGTGAAATAGCACCGAAAACGGCCTAAAACTGTACACCATACAGCCTCAGCACTCTTTAAATTTCAGGAAAAAATCTAATTGGGCTAGGAGCCGGAACACTGAATTTCCTCCTTCCGTGGTAAAGCGGCCAACGGGTAAAGTTAAACCACTCGTCTCCCTCTAGTTCCGAGGTCAAAAATGTTGTGAGTCCACTCCCCATCTGCATGGACCCGTGCTTTCTTAAGCACCATGGACAATTTACGTTTACCTAGCAAATCTGTATTAAACTATGCTGTTCGCAAACTGATTCAGTCAACATTCCATCAAAGGCAAAGAAAATTAAGATTAAACTCCGCCTACCTGACCTACTCCTTACTTATAGCAAACAAGCGCTTTGATCCTTGAATTTTAAACATTTTTTTAATCA